CCTTTAGATTTCCCATGCGTGGGAACTCTTCCCACACGTGCCCTCAAATTTCTCGCACGTCCAGAACCCTTGTTTCAGCCCAAATTTAAATGGGCATATCTTTGTCGTCTGGACTCGATTTTAAGCGATTCTTGAGTCTAAATTTAAGCCCTGAAAGTCTACTTTCCAATGGTGATGGTGTCACATCTAAATTATAAGTACAAAAAGATATATGTTTAAATTAGTGAAGGTCGGTCACTTTCTTCCTAATCGTTTCATGCTAATTTCTCTCCTAACTTAGTTTTCTATCATAACTTCTTATTTCATTAAACCTTAAATATGTAAACATGATATTTTAAAAAAGATAACATATGAAATTTTTGTAGAATACTTAGGACCCTTCAACGTATGTTTTTAGCACATTTCGACATTTTTAAAACCTTAATCACCTAGAATGCTTCTAGGCATGCATTTGATACATATTTGACACTTGATTTAGACTTGAGTTAGGCTTAGAAAAGTCTTGGATAATCTCAAAAAATATTAAGAAACACTAAGTTAAGTTAGAACACTTGAAGTGAATTTCGAAACTTGCTAATTTGAGTGTTTTCAATGTCTTGCTTATGCTTTGTGTAGGTCAAGCACTCATACAAGGAAACCCTTTATTCAATGAGCCATTTGTGAGTAATATGATTGTAAATTTATGTTTGAAAATTAGTTGTTTTAAAACATTGATGTTATGTTATGATTTTGTGAAATCCTTATTTTGTTTTTTAATGAATGAATATCCTATATTTTGATAAATCTATCGGTGGCATCCTTTAGTGAGTCATAGCCATTAGGGGACGTATATATGCCATGGCCATACAGAGACTCTATTTTGACAACCCATAGGTCACAACTTGAGATGTTATCATGCTTTTGACTATAAGCTATTCATATGAAATGTTTGAATGCTTTTCGAAATATGATATGAAACTACGCTTTGCAAATCTTATTGGAATTCATTCATTTACCACTTTACTGTAATATTATTTACTGTCAATGGCTCACCCTTCTCCCTTATATATATACTAGCGTATGCCTGTACCCGAAGGCACGATGTAAATAATGTTAGTATTAGAATATAATTGTAATCCCAACACTATTTAAATTTATTTTTTAATTTGAAAAAATCACAAATTTATTATACAATTTTGGAGTTCTCACAAAACTCCTCACAAAAACTCACTTTTGCTTATATAATAGCTAAATAGATAAATGTGCCTGGTATACATACAATTTCCATGAGCATATATACAGTATTGCTTTTGCTTATATAATTATATGGAAATTGTATGAATGCCCATAATATCCTAGTGTATTACAGGCATACATACATTGTATGAAAATATGTATAAAATATATTGAACAAAAAGGAGAAAATAAACAAATAGAGAGAAAAATAAAAATTGAAGAAAATAAAAAGAAAAGAGTGAAAAGGGTGGGATCATGGGATCATGGAAGGATGGGTGAGAAAAGGAAAAACTAAGAGAGAGAAACGGGAAAATAGACAATGTACATGTAAGATATTTTTTGGAAAATATATCTCAGCCATTGTTTTATAATTTGAATAGATCTAAACTGTCCAAATGTCCTAGTAGGGAAAATGTGTGTAGAACAAATTCAAAAACCATCTTGCTTTATTATATAGATGTTGAAGTTTCATATAAGGTCTAAATTTATAAAGTCTATCATGTATTCAATATATTTAAAAATAATAATTAATTGTTCAAATTCATTTAATTTGTGGACTATAAAATTCATTAATTTAATCTCCATTACACACATTAAAATCTGGCTCCTAATTCTGGGATCGCAGACTTTTCCATATAACATGAATAAAAATAAGTGAACAAAAAGGAAAAAAAAAAAACAAATAGAGAGAAAAAAAATGGGAGAAAATAAAAAAATAAAAAGAAAATAGAGAGGAATATGGGATCATGGAATCATGGATGGATGGGTGAGAAAAGGAAAAGGTAAGAGAGAGAAGCGGGAAAATAGAAAATGTACATGCAGGATATTTTTTAAAAAATATATCACAACCATTGTTTTGTAATTTGAATAGATCTTTCCATATAATATGAATAAAAATAAGTGAACAAAAAGGAGGAAAAAAAACAAATAAAGAGAAAAATAAAAATGGGAGAAAATAAAAAAATAAAAAGAAAATAGAGAGGAATGTGGGATCATGGAATCATGGAAGGATGGGTGAGAAAAGGAAAAGGTAAGAGGGAGAAGCGGGAAAATAGAAAATGTATATGTAGGATATTTTTAGAAAATATATCTCAGCCGTTGTTTTATAATTTGAATAGATCTGAGCCGTCTAAATGTCCTAGTAGGACAAATGTGTGTAGGGCAAATTCAAAAACCATCATGCTTTATTATATAGATATATGTAGGTGGCGAAGAGCTTGGTTACGAAAAGAGGTTGATTAAGAGTGGTCTTGAATGCTTGTGATGGTTTTGTATAAGCTTTGTCATAAGTATTGTATTTTACTTTGTTGTATGGATCATGTAATGAAGCAAGATAATAATCCAAGAGGAATGTATGCTTTCATTTCGTATAGTTATGCACGTCTCTGAATGGATGCTTCAAATGGACTCAATATAAGCAAGTAATGACTTCTGAATTTAAAGTTGGAAAATTTGCCCAAATTATTCTAAGAGTCCAACTTGTTTTGTAAGCTAGGCCTTTGGTAGTCCATGACTACTGGCTGGTCATCTCACCATCCTATATAGGGCGGGTTGGGATCGTGACATTTTACTCTTAGCACCCGATGATGAAAACTTGAAATGTGCGTAATCCTTCAAATTTCCCTAGCAGAAAGCTTAATCTTAAGGTGGATCCTAACCTTTCACCCGTTTTGGCCAAATTTTTTTTAGACCGTTAAAACCAATTTTCAAAATGTTTTAAGCCATGTATAGATCCAATCACTACCGTGATGTTCAAGCTCACTTTTCAATAAAAAAAATTGTATTTTTTGGTAACTGAGCGAGGACAAAGTACGAATGAATGGAGAGGAGAATCCCCTAAAAAAAACCCTATTTTCTCTTCAAAATTTGCTTAGTCTTACAAAATAGGGGCCGACCATACAAATTTTATGCTAGTGGTGACACTTTAATTTTTACAGACCCAAAGACTTCGGGTGGTTGTAAGCTTCCCGATAATGAAATGGTAATTATTTCTTCCTTAGAGATGTTCAAGGTTGATGAGAACTACTATGTAACCCCGTTTTAGCCAAAAATCATCTTTTTGTAAAAATGACCATTTTGTCAGTGAACACATTTTCATCCAAAACTAACTTTTTTTTTATTCCCACTAAGGAAGTAGAGGTCTGGTTGAGTTTGGATTGATAGATATTTTCAAAACATTGACTTATTTACACAAAAATGTCAATTAAATGTCAAACGGACCCACTTGGCCAAAAGAATGGTCCAAAAGCGTAGCACCATGTACTTGTGCATGCATGCATGATTGGCACACTTTGGGAGCACGTGCATCCACATCTGGAGGCTAGGTTGTATGCCTAGCTGCACAGGGTTCGCACGGCCACACATGCTACGTGAGTAGGATATGTGGCTGCACGTCCTAAACGGTAGTGCTGAGTAAGTTTTAGCTCTGAATTGTTCGGGAGGCGCAAGGAGAAAGTGATTGGCTACCCTAGGATGACCTAGGGTGTTCTAGAACCTTCCCCCCTAAGCCTGTATATACCCTTCTTCCTTCCCTCTTTGAGGGAGATCAAGTTTTTGCTATGTTTTGTGAGATTTAGAGAGAAAACACCTTCTCCTTTCAACTGTCACTCCTAAATCCAAGATAAACAAACCCAAAACAGCAGTTTTTGGTAATCCTAGAGTAAATCTAAGGTTGAAACAAAGTAACTAAAGTCAAACCAAAGCTTGAGGGAAGCTTCAAGCAAGGATTCTGATGCGTTCTTTGCTGTTTTATCTTTTCTTATTTTTTGTGTGTTTCTCTAACTATATTCTCTTGTGCAGTGGAATTTGGAGCTAAATTGAGTGCCTAAATTGAGAGTTGAGTGTGGTAAGAATATATTGAGATATCCTTTGAGGAATGAGTGTTCATCTGAGATATTTATGTTTTGAGCTAATGAATATATATATGGTATATTTGTATTTGCAGGCTAAGGATGCTGTTATAGAGTGTTGTAAGTTCCGAAATTGTGGGTTTAGTGATGTGAGACCATATATTGTGTGTTTTCATTGCATGCTACATTGTGGTTTCAATTATGTAATGATGGGTAACAATTGCATTTCATTTCTGGTGATAGATCCTTCTACTATGTGCACTAGGCAGATCTGTTGTGCTGTGTGGCTTATCTGCAATGGTGAACTACCATCATTGGATGTTGAGGCTTTGTTACTAATATGGTATGCTATGATAAGAGTCATGATGACACAAGGACCAGGCTACATGCTGCGCCAGTCTACGTGGAGAATCTTCATTGTGGAAACCCCTTGTCTTTATTTTCTACATTGTAATAGTTTGGTTTTGTTTTGGTTTGCACAGATGTTAACTGGTTGGTTTTTGCGTGTTATTTCCTATCCCTGCGGGTTTTCCAGGGTGCCCTATAGTTTCTTTGGGCTTATTCTATTTTTGTATTTGCACTTGCGGCTACAGAATTCCAGGTTTAACAATCTGGTTTGGTGCCATAGTAGCTGGGGCTTCGTGTTGTCAATGATGTATCCTCCTGGATCAAATGTTTCAAATCGTTTTTCTAGGTTGCTGCAGTTGTTTAACTTCTTGTTCACTCTCCCTATCTCTAGTACATATGGATGGTGAATAGGTTGTAGGGCCATAGTTCTGTCTATCGGTTTTATTTTCTGTCCCGTTTCATTCATCTTTTCTTTTGTTGTGTGCGTGTTTGTTCTGTTTTTTTGGTTTCCTGTATAGCTGTGTTAGGTCCTAGGGTTTGCCCCTTGTAATCATGTAAATTTTCTTGTTTTATTTATGTCTTATTCACCCAAAAAAAAGAACAACCAGCATTTATTCCACTGTCCATCTTTTTCTCCTGCATTTCAGAGGAGGCAGCACACACTTCTTCTTTCTCCGCATGCTCAATGCTCTTGATAAATTCCTCTGTCGCTAGATTTATGATTTTTGCAATCTCCACGACCCCAGAATGAAAAGCAGCCACATGGTCAGTCGTCTTTGCAGCTATAAAGGCAACATTATCAGCTTCTAAATCATCCCTTATTTCTGCAGAAGAGCTAGTAACTTCAGTAGGATCAGTGTGGCCAGAGGTGGGTTGTTCACCTGCCTTCCTTTTACCCTTATCCTTTACTTTTGTCCATCCCGCATCAGATTCAACCATGTCCTCATTGTTCTTCTGTAACTTAATTAGTTTAGTCACTTGAGCAGATAAACAATTCTTAGTTTCATGACCAAAAACATTACAGTGCTCACATCTAGAAGGTACACCTTGATACTCCACACGGATATTAATGGATACATCACCACTAGTAATGACAAAACTATCAGGAAAAACAAAATCAGTTGGAATATCAACACATACTCTAGCAAAAGAAATTCTGCTTCCTAATGATGTAAGTTGGTCCATGAATAATGGGACCCCCACTGCACTAGCTATCCTGCTTAAGCCATCCCCATCCCAGTATTCGAGTGGAATATTATAAAATTTCACCCAAATTGGGATGCTTTTCTTGTCTTCCTTCGACAGCTTCATCATACAGTGCCACTACTTCAAAATAAGTAGAAACCCCCCCCCCCAACATACCAAGGCCCTCCCTCCAAAACATCTATACAACAATCCTAATTCTCAAACATAAAAAAGATAAAACCATCATCATTCTTCAAAATATCTATCAACCCCTTATTTTTCCACATATTAAAAGCATTATTTTTAATAAGGGTGTAGGGCAGATTCTTATCGATAAAATACCCCACCAAACATGCTTCCCATTTAGCCACTAGAGAAGATGGGGGCATTTCAACTACAATCTTATCTTGATCCAGTTTAGGCGAATAATATTTGAGATTTACCTCAGATCTGACTGAAGTAGAGGCCACGTTTGCCCATGATCTATTCTCAGGGGCTCTATACTGTCCTCTACCCCCACGACCTCCTTTATTGTTTGTGTTTGAACCACGGCCACGACTACGACCCTGAAAGCCACCACGGTTACCCTCAAACCCTCTAGGGTTGGGGCCCGATTCATCAGATAAATGGTTATTTTGGACCTCTGTCACTTTAGGGCTACCATCAGCACCAAAGGCTTAATCTCCCATATCAGAAATACATATCTCCCTTAGATCAATAGGGAGAGAGGTTAGTTTCTCCATCGTTTCTACAATCGCTCCACGCTGATGAGCAACACCACGAGTTTTGGTAACCTCAAAGCTATCTAGTAGATGCATAAACTTAAATCGCTGTACTCCATCAACCATATATGACCATCTGGCTGATTGAACCAACAGTGTCGATACATCTGTAGGTTTGGAACAAGCAGATTGACGACTAATCTGAGGACCTTCTGACATAGTAGATCTAGCCTTAATAGCCTCAAGACGATCGAAAATCTCTTGAATAGATTTCGTTGTGACCCCCTTCACTTTAGTCTCACTATTCTTTGCAAGAACAACTAAGGTTTCTAATTCTTACTCAGAGAGTTTCAGACTCTTAGGGCAATATGCGCCTATAGACACCCCATTTTTGACCGTCCTCAAGACTTGGACGTCACCGTTTGAACACTCGGTGATCATATATGTTCGTGTTCGTTTTGAGTTCTCGGAGGTCTCAGCTACGCGCCTTGCCTTAGGATCTCTCGACTTGCTTGTTTTGTGTTTGGTTTTGCACCAAACACTTGTTGTTTTGCTTCTGAGGGCAGGGAATGGCTTGTTGGCCATAACCACACCTCACCGGCCATGGCCAAAGACCACCGGCCCTGTTTTGTTGCTACCGGCCATTGGTGATGGCCGGTCTGCACTCTATTTGGTCAGCCGGCCGTTTGTTTGGTCAATCGGCTATACTTTTTGGCCGGGACCTCCTCTTTGCCTTTTTCAGGCATTGTGCATGCCAACTGTGCCAGCTAGAGTGCACGGACTTGTCCTCCATACACGTGTATGGAGGATTTGCACCCTTTGCACCCTTTGCTCTAGCTTCTTGAGGGAGCTTGACCGCTTTGCCTTAGCTTCCTCAAGAAGCTTGACCCTTTGTCTTAGCTTCCTCAAGAAGCTTGAACCTTTGCTCTAGCTTCTTGAGGAAGCTTGACCCCTTTGCCTTAAGCTTCTCTAAGAAGCTTTGGCCCCTTGGTTCCTCTTTAAAAAGAGGGCCTCTCCTTCCATTTGGGGGGTTAGAAAAATCAGGCATATATATCATATATACCACTCTCTCTCTATATCTCCTCCATTTTAGCTCAAAGGTGTAAGGTTCTTGGCCCCATTGCACTACAACTCTTAGCCTAACCCTTCCACCTTCGGTCTAAGCATCTTGGCTAAGGGATTGGTTTTTGGGTCCATAGCTGCTGGAGTTCTTGGCTACAAGGGTAACACTCATTTTCTCTCTTTTATTCCCCATTTTTACACAAGCTTTTAGCCTATCTTGCATGCTATTTTGAGCTTAGTGTATAATTGATAAAAGTTCTATTTTTGCATGATTTTGATCATTTTTTAAGGTCACTTTTGTATTTGGGTTTGGTTACCCCCTCTTAGGCCTTGTTTGGCCTCATTTTTGTGCCTTTTGTTTTTAGCCTTGGGGCCACCTTGTATTGGCCTTCTCTCTGGATTTCAGTGGTAGGGATGGTGTTTTGAGGTCCTAAGAATGAGAGGGCCATCCCCTCTCCTTATTGTCTTGTTTACTTACATTTTTGGCCTTACAAAGAAGCCCATATTTGCATGCATCCTAAGCTTGGTTCAGGCCCTTTTTGGTGACTCTTAGGACCTGTCTAGCCTCTGTCCATGGCTGGTTTGGTCCCCTTTTATTTGCTTCTTGCATGTGTAGAGTAACCCCTTTCTTGGCTTATCAAATGAGCACCCTATTCTAGCATGTGTTGACTATGTTTCAGTGGGTTTTTAGTCATATTTTGGCATGCCATGAATCTATTTTTGACTGGTTTTGTTGTGTGAACCATGCTTACTAGCTCACATTGCATGTCATTTTGGCCCTCCATTCTAGCATATTTTGGCCATGTTTCAAATATGTTTTGTTCATATTTTGGGCTACCTTAGCTCTGTTTTTAGGCCTCTTGGTCGATTGGTGCTTGCCATGCATGGTTGTAGTGTAATAGCCTTGCTTACCTTTGAGTTTTGAAGCCCCCTTGCGTGCATTGCTTGAGCTGTTTGCATGTTTTGGTATCATAAGGAATTCTATTTCAGAGCTTATATGTATGCCATATTCTCATGTCTAGCATGCCTTCGATGCGTTTGAGGGTTGCATCATTATGCCTTGTTTATGAACCTTTACATGAGCTTCATTTTGGTGCATGTCAAGCCCTCATTTTAGCTCATTTTTCCACTGTTTAGGGACAACATGAGGTCTGTTAGGAGTTGGTTTCATCATTTGTCCATTGCTTTGCATACCTCCAGTGTGATGTGCTTCACTAGTTTCAGTATTTGAGCCTTCCTACATGCATTGCACGAGTCGTTGCATCATTTCGGAGTCATTTTGTATGCTATTTCAAAGCTAGAGTGTATGCCATTGTACCTCATGTTTCATCCTTGCCATGCTCTTGGAGAGTTGCATTTTGTGCCTTAGTCACGGGGCCATTACATTGTGCATGTTTGCATGAGTTTTGGTGCCTTGATTCCATCATTTTTGGCCACTGATTTTGTCATGCTTGAGAGCTACCCATGGTAGTGTAAGTCCATCTTACCATGTTGTTGCATGCTTGCTTCATTTTACATGTTGTTGCATGCTATACATGTCCACATGTTTAGGTTGTATGCCTATTGCATATTGCACGTTAACATGCTCATGTTGCATTAGATTTGTTGCACACTTGAGTTATTTGCATGCTTGTTTGCTTGCCTAGGTTGCATTGCATTGTGTGTGCATCTCCTGCCTCTTAATCAATCATGATAGAGGTTGGGGCCCTTTATGTGTTTTGTGCATTTCATTCCATATTGGGTTGCACACTTGACTCTTTGGCCATCATGCTTGGAAATGCGTGATTGGTGGCCCGAGGGTCGAGGACCATCCTCCATTGAGTTCATAACATGATAAGGAGGGTGGTCGTGCACACATTGTTTTGAAAATGCATTGCCATGCTCTGTTTGCCCTCTGCTACTGCAAAACAGGATTCTGCAAGAAGAGTTGGCCGACCGACCACATTCAGTGCCGGCTGGCTATTCATTTCTGGCCGAGAGCTATACAACTGGTTGCCATCGCACTGTTTTGTGCACCTTACTTGCATCGTGCATGCATATTATCGCGTTATTTTACGCATCGCGCTATCTTGCGCACCTCATCTACACTTGTTAGTGCATTGCATTTTCATTCGCGCTGTTTTGCGCATCGCACTATTTTGTGTATTACATTATTTCATTTGTGCTATCTTGCGTATCCCATTTGCACTTGCATCCCATTGTATTACATTCGCGCTGTCCAGCGCAGTCTACTTGTACTTGTTAGTGCATTGCGTTGTTACGCACTTTAACATGGATTGTCGTGCACTCTTCACTTGCGTCGACACGCACGTTTCGCCTCCACCTGCATTGTCATGCACTCTTCACTTGCGTCGACACGCATGTTTCGCTTCCATTTGCATTGCCATGCATTTCTCTATCTTGCATTGTCATGCATATCTCATTTGCATTGTCATGCATTTCTCTACTGCATCATCTAGTATGTATATTGCATTGTACATAGCATACATTACATACATTCATTGTATCTATTGCATTGTAGTTTGCATGCATTTACTGCATTATCCATCTATGGTTTGCGCCCTTCCATGTTGAGCTCGGTCTGGTATGTGCCCATACTTTTCACGTTGAAGCATTGTTATGATATTATGTGTACGCACCTAGTGTTGAGGGTGACGGCACCATTTCCGTGTTAAACGTGGTTTGTGTGTGTCCATGCCTTTCCTAGGCAAGATTTGGTTTGGCCGCGCGCCTTATCCACTGCATCCATTGCATTTTTATCTAGCATGTATATTGCATTGTACATAACATACATTTCATTGCATACAGAATCTATATATTGCATTGTAGTTTGCATGCATTTGATGCATCCTCCATTCTATCACTTGCGCCTTTCCCTGTTGAGCTTGGTTTGGTATGTGCCCATACTTTTCACATTGAAGCACGGTTATGATATTATGTGTATGCACCTACTGTTGAGGGTGACGACACCATTTCCATGTTGGACGTGGTTTGTTTGTGTCCATGCCTTTCCTAGGCAAGATACGGTTCGGCTGCTCACCTTATCCATTCCATCCATTGCATATAGAATATAGGTTGCATCGTCTTGCATCCTCTCGTCCACCTACGTTGTTTTGCATTCTTAAGTTGCATTGTCTTGCATCCTCCCGCCCACCCGCATTGTTTCGTATTCTTAGGTTGCATTGTCTTGCATCCTCCCGTCCACCCGTGTTGTCTCGCATTCTTAGGTTGCATTGTCTTGCATCCTCCCGTCCACCTGCATTGTTTCGCATTCTTAGGTTGCATTGTCTTACATCCTCCTGTCCACCCGCATTGTTTCGCATTCTTAGGTTGCATTGTCCT